TGTTCTCCGCATTTGACCCATCCCCTGGGGTGAGCGGTGAGCTGCAGACACAGCCGCGCTCGGGAACCATTTGGTGGTTTAACACCCCAATCCAACCCCTTAATGCGGAGTGTCAAGCAGGAGGCATTGGGTCCACTTTCAAAGTCTTTGGTATGACCCGACCAGGAATCGAACTCTAATCTCTCAGACTCAGGGCGGACACTCTACCACTAGGCCACTGAGCTGTAGGTTCCCATGGTAACCCATCAGACTGACTCCACACACTCAGCACTGAAACGGAGACCACACCAACTTTATTTTGAGGTGTAGTTTATTGTTTGAAAAAGATCCCGGTGACGCCCAATATAGAAAATATTTATTATAAAAAGAGGTTGAAAGACCCGTTGGACCTGAAAACAAGTCAGCAGGTGTTGCAGGTGGAGGAACTCCATCACTGTGTTGTTGTGCTTCTGGTCTTCTGCACAGCTTTGTGCTTTTTATAAATAATTAAAAAAAACAATACAAGAAAGTGTTTTTATACTCCGTCAGTTCCACGACTCTCTAGACCTTCAGTACTAATGAGAAACTGACCTCCTTTAACAGGAAAACACGGACTAATGCATGAGAACATGAATGACACGTAGAGCTGCAACAAACCAGAACAGTGACCCTAACGTTTGGCCTCTCGCAACCATGAGGCGTATGTACAGAACGAAAACCTGACCCGACACGAGGCAGGGAGAATCGTAGGTTCAGTCCAGACAGCAGCAGATCCCCAAAAGCCAGGTCTGGTTTCTGACCCACAACCAGGAACCACTCAAACTACCTACAGTGGAGTGTGTTCATCACCAATCCTGGCTTTACACATGCTTAGGTGGAAAAATCCTGAATTTTCTCTGATGTTGAAAATTTCTAATTCACTACATGATCAAATATTTTGGGATTACAGGAGTTAATGTGGGACATAATCTGATGTAAATTCATACATTTGAGAGGAAACGTCTACACTTCCAGGGTCGTCGTCGTCGCCTTCCTCCGCTTATCCGGGTCGCGGGGGCCAGCATCACAAACTAGGGAGCTCCAGACCATCCTCTCCCCGGCCACCTCCACCAGCTCCTCCGCAGGACCCCAAGGCATTCCCAGACCAGATTGGATAACCTCTCCAACGTGTCCTGGGTCGACCCGGGGGCCTCCTGCCGGCAGGACATGCCTGAAACACCTCCCCAGGGAGGCGTCCAGGAGGCATCCTGACCAGTTTTTTTCATAAATACAAACACAACCACCTCTGAAGAGGTTTTTCGTGGATTTCAACCCCCAAACCCCACCCCTCGCAGATCTTTTGGTTTATTATCTAGATTAGCTCTAGAAGCCACCATGCATCCCCGCTACACCAGCTTCGCTTTAGACCAATAAATTATATTCTTTATACGCTCATGTTTCACTAAAGTTTCAGAAAACCAATGTGAACCAAAAATCTGACGTTATTAAACATCACAGAGCAGCTATGAGTAGGTTTGCTCCTGGCCTGGTCACTTGATGTCTGTAGTCTCAGCTCCGGTACGATTCTGTAAAAAAGCCAAAAGGGTTCAACATTACAAACAGAAATAAAATGCTCCATAAACAACACTTTAGGCCAATAAATAGAGTCAGTGGAACAAGTTTTACCTGGACCAGAAACACCAGGATGCACAGATAAACAATCGGAGTTCTGATATACTGGAGGTTACCAGTGGAGTCCCACAAGGGCCAGTGCTCGGTCCTAGAGTTCTCTTCATTTATAAAATGATATGCATGATGTAACCAAGTCACTCATGTTCATTATCTGCTGCTGACACCATTACACGGCTCTGGTAAAGGTTTGGAACAGCTTCTAATCACAATGGAATGAGACCCGATATGTCGAAATAACCAGGAGTCGAGCCGCCACCATTACTGCGGTGATAGCTCCCAGGAAGCAGAATGAATGAATCACTGAAATGCATCACTGCACCAATGGCGATGGCACAAGATGGCGATTTACACTAAACGCTCGATAAATTCATCTTTAGGGAGCCTAAGTCACGCCCATCTACACAGGTACCCGGAAGGAGAAAAAATAAATGCAAGTCAACGGGGCTAAAAACGTTGGGGCAACGGTGGCACAAGAGTTAAGTGCTCGCCCCGTAATCGGAAGGTTGCAGGTTTGAGCCCCGCTCAGTCTGTCACTGTCGTTGTGTCCTTGGGCAAGACACTTAACCCACGTTGCCTGCTGTGGTGGTCGGAGGGACCGGTGGCGCCAGTGCTCAGCAGCCTCGCCTCTGTCAGTGCGCCCCAGGGCAGCTGTCGGCCACATTGTAGCTCATCCCCACCAGTGTGTGAATGGGTGAATGACTGATTGTGTTGTAAAGCACCTTGAGGGGTTCCAGGACTCTAGAAGGCGCTATATCAAATACAGGCCATTTACCATTTTAAAACGCTTTTTTCTAATTCTGCTGGTTATGTGCCATGGATTTCACATATGATGTCCGTGAATTTTAAAGACATTCTGAACCAAGAACGTGCTTATTTTTGAACGGGGGGAACGATATTTTAGGTATTTAGGTTTTGGTTCAAATTCTTCCTCCAGGAGGAAATAACCACCATAAAACTAACCATGTGGTGAGTAGCAGCTACGCCAGGGGGAGGAGATTCTGTGGTGACGTCATATATGCGACGTACCGACATCTGATTTGTAATCATTTAATTACGAAATTTTAAAAGCTGAGAAATCTCAAAGTACATGACTGGCGTGGTTGAAACACCATCATTAGATTTTATTTAAACTGCAGTAGAACATGTGTGTGATCCAGGGTGTAATGGCCAAGCGGGTTAGATAGCGTTTTTAGCCCGTTGACTTGCATTCATTTTGTCGTTCTTCTGGGGACCCGTGAGCCTAAAGCCTGAGACACGCTTCTGCGTCAGTGCGGAGACACGCAACGCCATTATCCGTCCTTGCGGGCCTGCTGGGGAGCCCGGCAAGGACGGACGGAGTCGAGCTCTCTTTTCTAAACATCCGTCCGTCGAGATGGAGAAAGCAAGCTCGTGATTGGTCAGGACGCCGCCGCCATTGCGCCCTCAAAAACATAAACAGAGCCGAGGATAACTAGCCGCAGACACGGAGCAGCTTGAAGAAGACCTCGCGAAAAAACTCTAAAAACATGAACGTTTAATTCCCCCGTGACTGGAGGAGTGAAAAGATGCGCAGCAAGCGTTTTATTTGTGGACGGAAATGACAGGAAACGTGGGTTTAGAGGTGGCGAGCGCATGAAGCGGTGGGAGAATGAGAGACAAATATGTCCGTGTTAAAAAGTCTCTTATATACAAAAAACACAATATAAACACACCGTCTAGGACCGGATACATGACAGGGATACCACAGAACAGCGCTACGCCCTCTGTTGTCCTGGAGGGGAATTGCTTTGCAACACTCTCCAGGAGACGGAGAAGCATGAGGGCAAAACGTCTCCTTCCGTGCGTGTCTCTCTCTCCCTTTTGGAGCTGACGGAGAAGCGTGACTCAGACTTTAGACTCTCTATGCTCAAAGGGCAGAGACCTGCATGGCAGCAACATAGGAGGTGGAGGTGAGCTTTTTCAGAAATGTTCCTTTTAATGGAGAAAGGTCTGTTTAGACAAGCAAAGGTAAGCACTAATATTAACTAGGGCTGCACGATATTAGGAAAACCTGCGATATGCGATAACAGTGATTAAGTATTGCGATGACGCTATTACTGGCCATAAATAAAATCTTAACTCAGGAACAAAATTGATCAAAAACAAAGAAATTAAAAAATGACTAAAAATATCATTAAATGAAAAACGCAAAAGATGTGAAGAAAGGGAAAAACTAAATGAACAAGAAAAGGGAATCGTGGATCCCAGGAAAAGCAGAATCAGCAGAAAGAGCAGAACAAAGCTAACTCAGGTGTTTGCTAGCCATCCAATTATTAAGTGTCGGGGCGGGCATCTAACCTATGAGAACCCACCCAATTGGCCAAATGGGTGAAGAGCTCTATTTGATTAGTTAAAAAACATCATGCTTCAGTTTGATGGACAGAATGCGTCATGTGTAGCAAACATTTGAGCTGACTTTTCATCGCGATATTTATCCGTTCTTTGCGATATGCATATTGTGCATGCTGATATCGCGATATCGATATATTTGCGATATATTGTGCAGCCCTAATATTAACATTATTAACACGAAAGAATGAAGGCAATCTTTTATACGGCGCCTCTCAAGATAAAAAACAAGGGCAGTCTCTGGCCTGTGATGTCATGAGGGCTGTGGGCCCCTGTGGGCTGCATGGTGGCGCAGTGGTTAGCACTGTTGCCTCGAGCAGCACGAAGGTCGCAGGTTCAAAACTCTGCTGCGGCCTTTCTGCGTGGAGTTGCGTGTTCTCCCCGTGCATGCGTGGCTTTCCTCCGGGTACTCCGGTTTTCCCCCACAGATCACAACATGCCCTATAGGTTATAAATTGTAAGTCGCTTTGGATAAAAGCGTCTGCTAAATAAATAAACATAAACATCTCTGAGCAAGTGGGCGGGGCTAAAGTTGTCTCCATTATTAAACAAAAGCAGCCTGAGCAGTCTTGCTTTTGGAGACTGATTTCACATTCTCTCTCTCTCTCTCTCTCTCTCTCTCTCTCTTCTCTCTCTCTCTCTCTCTCTCTCTCTCTCTCTCTCTCTCTCTCTCTCTCTCTCTCTCTCTTCTCTCTCTCTCTCTCTCTCTCTCTCTCTCTCTCTCTCTCTCTCTCTCTCTCTCTCTCTCTCTCTCTCTCTCCTCTCTCTCTCTCTCTCTCTCTCTCTCTCTCATCTCTCTCTCTCATCTCTCTCTCTCTCTCTCTCTCTCTCTCTCTCTCTCTCTCATCTCTCTCTCTCTCTCTCTCTCTCTCTCTCTCCTCTCTCTCTCTCTCTCTCTCTCTCATCTCTCTCTCTCTCTCTCTCTCTCTCTCTCTCTCTCTCTCTCTCTCTCTCTCTCTCTCTCTCTCTCCTCTCTCTCTCTCTCTCTCTCGTGTGTTAACTCCACAGTATCCAGAATGACGATGAATCATGCCTGTGGGAAGCCCCCGCAGGCTGATTCTCTCTGCCAATCATAGGCTCCCCCTAAGTAAGTGTGATTTTGAGCCGGCCAATCGGTCAGCAGTGGGCGTGTCGGCTCTGTTTCGGCTCCAGGCAGACCGCCTCAACAAGAGGGCTGAAAAGACGTCCGGGAAAATCCGAGGCTACCTAAACCAAAACACTTCCGACCCGGTCGAGGTGGAGTGGAGCCGATGCTAGTGTGAAAGTGCCGTTTACACTGCTAGAACGGTGCTGTGCTGCTGCAGGCTGGCTGGTGAAGAAGCGTTCCCGTTGGGGACACCTGCTCATCCCAACCCTCCAGGATCTGCTGCTTCTCCCTGGGGTCAAGGGGTCATGGTGTGTGGGTGAGCCTCGTCGATGTGGGCCCTCACGCCCTCCAGGGTGTGAGAGTACTGCAGCTCCCCACACACCATGCACACCAACAGCTGGTTGAGCGGGTCGTAGTCCATCAGGTAACGGTTCCTCCAAACCACCTCTGAAGGACGACCATCGTCTTCGTTGTAACCACCGTAGTCCGTCAACAGGGGCTCCGGCTCATCTGAGGAGACACGGTTACTTCGTCCCACAGCGGCCACTTTAGCTTGTATTATTAAAGGTGGGATGGAGTGATACGTCACCTGCTACCTGGGGAGTGTCATGTGATGGGTCTGGGTCCACTTTCACACTGGAAAAGGAGATTTCACCATTACCCAGTAAGCCCTGGTCTTCCATAAGGGAGTGCTCAACATCATAAGCTTAAACATGCAGCCATTAACCTTTGACCTTTGGCTAGTGTGTGAAACATGTGTGTGTGTCCTGCTCCGTCTCACCCTTTCTGAGTGACCTGTCTGGAGACTGCAGGTGTAAATCAGCATTGTGCTATAATCTAGAATATTTACATAGATGCACTGTCTCTACCAAGTGAATGGATGGATGAATGAATGAATCCTTAACATGGGAAAGATCCTGGTGAAAGGCTGAATAATACACCCACCTCTTCAGAGGCTCCGAGTCCACAGAGGGATCCCCCCACTTCCCAGGATCCTGCAGAAAGACCGGAGCGATCATGGAGCAGCAGACAGGAAGGACCCAGCTCACAGATTTTAATCTGACCTAACTCAGAGGTCACATCAGTTCTGAGCCCCCCCAAAAAACACACACACACACACATCTGTTCTGAGCTGACTAACCCAAGGGTGAGCCCCAAGAGGTAAGGCTCAGCCAGCAGACGTGAACCCACCTCCCCGGACCCGTTTCCGGGGGGCTGTCCTGGTTCCTCTGTACAAGGTTCTGCTTCCGTCTGAGCCCTAACTGGTAGTCCAACGCCCTCCATCAGGAGAGAACAAGGGCCCAGAACATTGATTAAACCTGTAGTCTAGAAGAAGACTAATTTAAGGCTCTGAAGATACCTGTGCAGCTCCTGAAGTCTGTAGACCCTGGACTGGTGGAACGGGACTCCAGCTGTTTGAGACCACGTGTGCAAGGGGATCCCTGTCTCGAACAGCCTTCCTGGCTCGCTGTTCCTTCTTTTTTATCCTCCAGTACTCTCGTTTCCTCCTTAAAAAGTCCTCCTCAGACTCCCCCGGGATGGGCTTCGGAGGAACCAAGGTGCTAATGGGTGCCAGGTTGGAGGAGGACTGGCTCTGAAGACCACAGGAGGAGTTTTTGATGAAATTAGATGTTTGACCAGGTAATTCAATAGAACGCAAGTGGATGCTGGACAGTGGGTTATCGGGGGGGTTCAGAGCAGAGAAGCATGGGGCCACGCTACGATGGGGCTGTTTATGAAGACACCCATCATCAAAAGACCCAACATTCATCCGATCTTCTCTGCTGGTCATGGGCAGTTTGACCTGAAGCGTGTCAGGACACCGTTCGGGGTTAGCTGCTGTTCGCCTAACAACCAGGACTCTAGGGATGGCGGTCCCTGCAGCCACAGAGGCGAGCGACAGGTGGGGCTGGGGGGCCGGCTTGCACCGACCCACATCCTTCAGAGGCCCTGGGACCTGGAAGAGAGACAGGTTAGGTCAGAGAGAATAAACACTCGTGTTTTTAATCCTCTAAGAGGTTTCAGCTGGAATAAAACAGAGTCTGACTCCGAGACCAGCGGCTGAACAGAAACCCACTCGTTAGTCAACAGTGTGCTCTTTAAAGGGACTTTATGGACTTTTGAATTTTTATGCTCGCGATTGCCCCCGTAGGCCAAAAGCATAACGGCAGCTTCAATAGTAGGCTCGTGCACGAGGCGTGCATGCTGTACGTGCACACTCCTTAACGAAAATAACAGCTGACAGTCCGTGTGTGTGTGTGTGTGTGTGTGTGTGTGTGTGTGTGTGTGTGGCCCGGAGGACAGAGGACAGGAGAACACGCAGCTAATTAATTAAATAATTTGGTTCTGTACCTTTCTCTTCAGCACAGCTGACAAAGGTTTATGATGGGTCAGTCCTCCTGCATGCTCAGATCATTCCCTTCCCTTGCTTGAAAAATTGTTCCAAAATGGAAGTTGAACCCACATCTTTTTTATCTGTGAATTCAATGCCGTTCGGCGAGTCTCAGATAAAAATTTGGGCATCTTACTGTAAAAAAAAATACCATTAATGTAAAAGAGAAACTCTAATAAACTATATTAACTCCAGATTTGAACCCGGGTCTCCCGCACGAGAGCCCGACATCTTATTAGGTGAGCTAAAGCGCCAGTGATGTCTTTTGTATCTGTAACATTTATATCCTTGATGACAGCTGAAACAACGTCCAAAGAACGGTTTGGAGTGAAAATGGCTATTTTGTTGCTAATTTGCAGGAAATATCTAGAAGAAAGTTCTACAGAAAGTAGCTAAGGGTCCTCAGAAATGTAGCTAGCTTTGTCACTAGGCGTTAGGAACAGCGACAAAGTGGCACTGCCTCTCTCTCTGCTGCTAAAGCTACGGATAGCAAATGCTACGGGCGATGACTGAGCGTGAACGCGCATGAAGCAGCCTGCTCGACCCGAGCATCTCTCTTTTTCTGTGATTTTACAGAAAAACAGGCAATCACAGTAAAAATGCCAGGGCTCATTCTACAGGACCAGGGCATTGCAGGAGAACGTATGAAGAAGACATTTATTATTTCTACACATGTTTTGGCTGTCACACTTCCACATAGTCCCTTTAAACTGCAGCGTGACGTTGGGTGGCTTTGAGCTGCATGGGCTAACTGATGTTTGGTCTGAGGCTCGATCCGGTTCTTAAGTCTGCCAAAATCACATTCAAGCCATTTTCATGGAGAAATAAAGCGCCGGCCTGCGAGAGAACCAGTGTTACTCAAAGGCTGGAGCCCATGTGTTTGGTACCTGGATGTTCTCCACAAGGGGCCGACTGCTGCTTTTGGATGGTTGCTCCTTCTGCTTGGCCCGTAGTCGAGCCCTCTGCTGCCTCTTCATCAGCTTCCAGTACTCCCTCTTCCTCTGCAGGCTGGTTAAGCCGCTCCGCTCCGCTCCCACGTGGGTGTGCGCCTGTGCTGGAGGCAGGCTGCTGCTCTGGGACCAGCCCTGATGCTGCTGCTGGTGTGGGTGGTACAGGGACATAGCTGGCAGGTGGCGAAGCTGAGCCGGCTCTGGGGAGCAGATGTCCTGAAGGTTGTTGCTGACGAGTCTCTGGGTTCTGCACGGAGACCCAGAAGCTTCCACGGTTCGATTCTCAGTGAGGTTAGAGAGGGGTTGGGACGAGTGCTCACAGGTGAGAAGTTCTACCTCGCTGCAGGCGGGAAAAGAGGGAAGCATGTCGCTGACTAGTGAAGAGTTGAGCTGAGGGCTCACTGAGCCTCTTGGTACCACATCGTCACTACCTGGATCCCAGCCTTTCATCTGCAGAGTTGCGTCAGCAGCTGCTGAGGTAGCGGCGTCGTTTGCAAAGATCAGCTGAGACACCGCGGGCTTCACGTCCAGCTCAGAATCATCTTCATCCGGCTTGATTTGAAGACCAAGCTGCTCCGTTTGACACTCTGCCACGCTGCTGAGAGACTCCTCCAGGAGCTTCTTCATGGAGGCCACGGCTAGCAGAGTGGTAGCTTGGCTGTCGGAGTACAGACTCGGGTCCAGCTCCAGCTGCAGCCCCGGAGGGGCAGGCAGGGTGCTCGGCGGCTGCTCTGGTGGAGAACGTAGGTCAGACGTGGACTCACTCTCCTGTTTTATGTCATTTCCATGTGGCGAGTCTTCTGCACGTGTAGTCACGGCGGTTGCCGGGTCTGGCCTCTGAGCTCTCCTCTTCAGCAGGGCCGAGCTGTGCTTCAGGAGAATAGCGCGGGCTGCTCGCTGCTCACGTTTCTTTACTCTCCAGTACCCCCTCCTCTTCGCTATCCTGTCCTCCTCTGGCAGCAACACATTCTGAGACGGAGCACAGCTGGAGACGGCCACTTTCATCACACAGCTGCCCCCGCCTGATCCAGATGTTGATCCTGTGTTCTGGCGGGTACTGGAATGCGTGAGCGGACCAACTCTTTGGGATGTGGCTGAGGGCGGGCCAGAATCGGAGCTGCTAACGTGAGGTTTGATTTGGAGTAATCCTGGAGGTCTGTGGACCGGCTGCACGCCCTGAGGTGGAGCCTGGCTTTCCTGGACCGGACCAGCACGTCCCCTCGTCGTCCCGGCTCCGTGCTGTGCTCGAGTCATGTGGACATTCTGAGGACCTCCGCTGCGCTCCTCCTTACATCCCCCACCGGCTGCGTTTCTGTATGAAGGAAGGTTAACGGTCAGAGTCCCATCCTCCTTGATGAAGCCTCCGATGGTCTCAGAATCAGGAGAAAGGGCACTTCCTGTTGAGTGCGTCAGCGCCCTTGTCTTTCTCAGATCCGCGAGGATTTGCTGGTACCGTCTCACTCTCAGGGACTGCTTCTCCTGCGCCCGAGTCTTGGACTCCAGCGACAGCTTGGCCCGCTGCTCGCGCTTTTTAATCCTCCAGTACTCTCGCCGCTTGGCTATGATCTGCTCTGATGAGTCATTCGGGTCCGCTTTGGGCAGTCCTCTGGTGGATAACGCCGAAGCCACGGAGGGAGATTTGCATCTTAAATTCCCAAGACTTATGAACTTCTTCTGCGCGTCGATGAACTTGAGTCGAGGAGACCTACACGGAGCGATGCCTCTGGGGTCCGACGGAGTGAGGCAGCTTGCTTTTCTCTGAGAGTCCGCTGGCCTCCTCCCAGAGTTAACATCACACGTGAGGGTCGGCTGCTTTCTTCTGCTCTTCTGAGGGTTTTGGACTTTGACAGGACCCGCTGGCAGCATGGAGACAGACCTGCTCCGGGGTTTATCAGAATCGTGTCTGGCAGCTATGAATGGCACTTTGACCCGAACAGAACACAGCTTCTGTCCCATTCCTCTCAGAAAGGTCTGTGATGGAAGCATGAAGCCAGACACAGTTTTCTGTGCCGTCGTCCTCTGACGTGTCCCACCTCCAATCTGCGTTCTCTCTTTGACGTTAGCCGTCTGAGCCGCCAGCTTTGCCCGCTGCTCCCGCTTTTTGAGCCTCCAGTGCTCTCTGCGCCTGGCTGCCTTCTCCTCCTCGGACACCGAGGGAGGCTGAGGAGGACCTTCGGCCCTTCTCCTGGAGACCAAAGCACTCTTTGGTCCACTCCGAGGTACTGCTGCTTTACTGGAAATGGGGGCGCGTTTCATTTGTGTGGTGGCGAGTGGGTCGGTCATGGGCGGAATGGGTGACAGAACGTGGGCCTTGGGCCGGGTTCTGGGGACGGATCTGCCCTGCACGGACACGCATGGCTGAGGTTCTGCTTTGATGGAGCTGCCGTTTGTAACGCTAGAGTCGATCACAGGAGGCGCCGATGAACTGGTGCCGAGCTGGGTTCCACCGGAGCTGGGAGAGCTAACCACACGTGTTGCTGCAGCTCCTGGAGCTACGACTGAACCAGACGTCAGCCGGAAGCCTTTAACGTTTGCGGTCTCGAGACACCTTTCCTCTTGGTCGCTAGCAGCATCCTCTGAGCCAACTCCATCTGTACCTCTCCTCTTTAATGAAGCAACGCATGAGACATTACTGTAAAAGGGACGAGACAATGCAAAGTTTGGCAAAGTCCCCGCAGCGGAATCACGCTGGAACGAGACCTTCTCCTTCGCTGGCTTTCCTCTCTGCTCCGACAGACGAGCCCTCTGTTGCCGTTTCTTATTCCTCCAATATTCCCTCTTTTGAGCGAGAGTGGCATCGTCGTACTCCGAGGCCGGCCGGTAGCGGTGAGACGTTGAACCACCTTTACCTTTAGCAGCTAGCATGCTATTGCGAGCTTGAACAGCCCATCGGTCCACGTCTACACGCAACAGTCTGCGCCCAGGCTATTCCAGCTCCTCGGGCCGGCCCTTCGGTCCAGATTCCACGTGGTTCTCAAATTCACCGCATTGTTCTGGAAGACGCAGAGCTGCTGACATCACACTGGTAAACAGGAACTGTAAGAAAAACAAAACAAGCTCGAGTTTTACGTTTCTCCGCGTCAAACGCTATTATGTGAGATCAATCGTGAAACAGACGCACCAGAAATAAAAACACTGGCAGAAGAAAAGGTCAAGCAGAATCCAGATTTGATTCTAAATTCATCTTTTTTGACCACCGAGTCGTAAAACTCAAAGGTTGACCTGTGCAGTAAACTACTCTACGGGTCTCAGACGGCAATCTGAAGCTGGACTCCATGGCGCTACAATCAAAGATGATTGAAAAGGAAAACGTCGTGAGGTCAAAGTCAAATGCGATACTGTGCTGTCGGCGCGGCAGTGGAGGGATGATGATTTGGGCTGGTTCTGCGGCCAAGAGGCACCAACATGTTCTAGAGTCTAGCTGGATTTCATCTGTCTAACAGCAGAAGCTGAAAGGAACCGGATCATGAACCAGAACCCTGATCCAAACACGGAATCCGGTTCCAGTCCAGACCTGAACATGTTGCAGCTGAAGCGGAGTCTAAATCCATCTGTGATACCGGCAGCTGGAACATGTGGAGTGTCTGGATAATAAACTTTATTGAGCTCTTATTGCTTAACAAGCTGAAACACTAACACCCTCCCCTCAGAGGAGTTGCTGTTGATGTCGTTAGGCCCTATTGTGTTGGGCTGGTCAGGTGTTTTTGCCAGAAGCAGGAAACTGTGAACTAGACTGAATCCGTCTGGGGATCAGGGTCACCACTGCATGCTGGGCGAAGACGATTTCTTAGATTCTCCTTTTCCCGCACCAGGTGAGAGGTGGAGGACACACTGGTCAGGTCTCGAGTCGAGTCCATCACGGGACTAACAACTCGCTCACTTCTAGGAACAGTTTGGTCTTCCGTCAACCTGACACACGTGTAGGGTCTGAGGCAGAAACCAAGTACCAGGACAAACCCTGGAGAACACCAACAGGCTGCTCTGGATTTGAACCGGAGACCTTCTTCAGCAACGCTTCAGCAGAGAGTCACTTTCTGAGATGATCCACCGTTTCTCATTATTTCTGATCCAGTAACTCTGAGCTTTATTCGCCATCTTAAACCTGGAGGTGTGTGTCTGTCCCTTTAAACCTGTCCCCATCCACCAGCACTCACACCCGTCCCAGGCTTTCACCGGTCTTCACTCGCGGCTCTGCGGAAACGGTTCCGTGTCTGCAGCGTAGTAAACAAACCCTGCCGAACCGAGTCAGCACCAGGGCGAGAGACCCGCTGTCTCCCAGGGCGCTACAATGGACATGATCTCAGGCCTATTGTCCTCGCGGACGGCAGCCCGTCCCGGCTTAAAGTCCGGAGATAACGGCCGCCTAGCACCAAAAGACAGCAGCGGGAGGCACGGCATGCACGTCAGTTACCTGGAGGGACACCCAACGTTCAGGGACACAATAATGGACGTGTTGGGACAGACAAACGTCCAGGAGACATCAGCCACATCCCGCCAGCCGACGCTTCCCTGACAACACTTCTGCTGCTGCTGCTGCTGCTGCTGCCGAGGACCCGGATGTGGGTATGAAGCTCAAGTCAAATCTCGCGAGAGGACGTGAGAGACCGTTAATGGTAGCTGCGCTGTTGACACAAGCGCGACAGCTCCCATCCCACATGTCATCACAAACTAAAATATCTAACAACAATTATTTCATTATTAATATTTATAGCTTCAGTTTGTTCATTTGAGACAAAATAATGGAAACCGTGCTGTTTAAAGCAGCCTCTCCTTGTTGTTCAGGGCCCCGATGAACGGGAGTTTATGTAGAAGTTCGTGTAAAACGGCCTAAATCAGAGTTTCTCTGCTTCATCACACCTGTTTGTATTCAGCATGTGATTAGCAGACGTCCGTGGAGCCTGGTGAGCTGACCAGGTGATTCAACCTCTGAAGCAGGTGTGTTGGAGGAGGTAGGTGGGAAGAGAGGCTGGACAGTGGCCCATGAGGGTCAGGACTGGTGACCTTTATTAAGAATCAGCCAGGAAAAGAACTGTTTTCTCTTGTTTCAGGCTCTAGTTCGCTGCATGTTGTTTTTCTTTGCACCTCTCTTGCTGCTGAGGGTAAATTAAATCTTATCTTAGCTAAAGGAATTTTGCATTCATCCATAAACGGGAGCTTGGAAGTCCCAAATAAAAGATTAGAAACCAACATGAGTCCAAGCACAGATATAAGTAGAACCTTCTGGTGTAAACATCCCAGCTGATTCCAGATCAGCTCTAATAAAACCCTAATTTATGGGCTGGTTTGTAATCTAGTGTGTTTACACAATCATCAATCACCGATGTTGCTGAGCAGGACAGCACCGAGGCCCCGGTAGAACCTGGGCCCGGCCCGGTTCTGATGGAACAGATGTGGGGTTATTAGCTGCTTAGGGCATTAGCGCCTGCTGCTCCCCGCCCCCTCCGGGCTGGGCGTGCGACGTCGACACAGTTCTACTGTCTCTTTAAATTTACCCAGGAGCCCCTTAAGGAGCCCCAGGGGCCCCTAGTCCGGCTCCCCGCCCAGAAGACAAGCAGGAACCTTAAAATACATCAGGAGAGGCCGAGGGTGCGCGCGGCGGGGGCTGTTAGCTAGCACGAGCCGGGTTTGATTGCACCTATGAAAAGTTAAGTTGGCTCCCGAGCAGGGCGCGTGCTGAGGTGGACTCGGGGGACCGCGGACAGCACCGGCTCCGAACGATGGGCTCGGTGTGAAGCGGCTGTCAGACGCGCGTCGAGCCGCGCCGTGCGGACAGACGTGTTCCCGGAGTGACAAGCATGTTGTGAGGGTGACATGACGTCCCGGTACGGCACTGCGAGTCCGAGGCTGTGACGGAGGAAGCCGAGCAGCACCGCGGCCAGGCCCGGGATGGAAGGAGCGGCGGAGAGCGGACCAGTGGACCTCCGCGGTTCCGACAAGGCTGGGCTGCTCTTATTAATAATCGGCGGAGAGGAGGAAGCTGCGCGCAGGGGGGGCGACTTGGGAGGTAAGGCAAAAAGTGATTTTGTTTTGTTGTAACCACATCTGCGGGTGTGCGTGCTGTCACACACACGACTATTTTCAGTCAGACAGTTAATCCGTGTCAGGGACAAAGCCGCGGAGCGGCATGGCCCCTCCGTCTCTGTGGCTCCTGTAAACAAAGGCTCAACGGCACACAGGCTGGAGGACACTCTGCCGCCCCCTGCTGGCCAGATACAAGCAATCAGTCTGAGCTGGTACACACACATACACACAAACATGTGTGTGTATGTGTGTGTACATATAAATAATTTATATATATATATATAATGTATATATATATGTATATATAATGTATATATATGTATATATATATACATTATATATATACATATGTATATATATATACATATGTATATATATACATTATATATATACATATGTATATATATATAATGTATATATATATACATATGTATATATATACATTATATATATACATATATATATATATATGTATATATATACATTATATATATACATATATATATATATATGTATATATATACATATATGTA